TCGGGGCGCTACACGGCCACCCGCCGCCCGGGGACCCGGCGAGGGGGCGGGGGCAGCCCCGAACCGGTCCCGGGACCGGCCCCGCTCCGGTCTCACGCGCTTTCCACGAAGTTTACCCTCCTCGCGCTCCGCCGCGCTGCTCGGGGAGCCCTGCGGTCTACGAGGTGAGAGCAGAGCCGGGGAGAAGGCGGACGGGGCGGTGGGGGGGGCGCGGAGGAATGCGCGGGCGGCGGGGTGCGGAGCCGGGGTCCCGCGTGCAAGACCCGGCCCGAGCCGGCCGTGCCCCGGAGCCGGGATCAAGTGCTGTTTGTCCCGCGGAGGCGCAGAGCGGTGCCAGGCCCCGGGCAGCCGTCGGCTGGCTGGACCAGGAGACCCGGGTCCTCGGCCGCATAGACCGGGGTGGGGTGGGGGGGGGTTGTTGGGAAAGTTGCTGGGTGGGCAAGGTGTAGGTGACCCGAGGTCCCCCCTTTCGGGTCAGTAGGCCCCACTTAGCCTGGGGCTCCTCCCTTGTACCTACTGTGCCCTTAAAGCCGCACGGGCAGACCCTTGTACCGAGCGCCCATTTCCTTCCCCCACCGTCCCCTGGCTGTGTCACCCTATTTCCCACTTTATTAGCTGCAGAGCGATCACCATGGCTTTTCTCTTCCCACCAGTGTCCTTCTCTCGCTTGTCCAGGGTCTGGGGGGGGGGGAGGTCATTACTGTTCTTCCTGAACCAGTCTCTGATTTTGGCTACTCCCTTCCTGTCCTGGGACAGACCAGCCCCCTTTTCCCCTCCCATGCTTAGGAAGAAGGCTGGTATGACAAAGGTTGGAGGTCCTTTGGGACCTGGCATCCCTGGACCTTTTCCATAGTCCTTACCCTGCCGTCTGTGGGTGTGGGCAGCCCAGACTCTCCTCTCTGGGTGTGGGTACCCGATTACCCACATTCCTGGGCTCCAGCCTGGCACCTTCCCTTGGGCAGTGGACGCCATAGTATTAGCCCCAGGCTGGGGCTGGGACCAGTTTGCTTCCTTTCCCTTCCCTTCTCTTTTCATGCCTCCCCTTTGAGACACAGGTATTCCAGGTCTTGCAGAATGGAGCTCTGGGGTTTGGTATGGATACAGGATGACCCCACCCTCCCCTGTCCATTGTCCTAGATCCTGAGGAGGAAGTACTGGGGGCTGGGCAAGGGGCTTGGGGCCCACAAGACAGGCGCTGTGGATCCCAGTCCCAGCCTTTCAACTTTGCCATCAGTCCTCCCTGCCTCCCAAGTGGAGGTTGTGTGGGCTGTAGGTGGGAAGAGGGATCTACTTCTCCTTTGCTGACACTATTGGGGAATTATTGATTAGGTTTTATATTTGGGGTTTTCTTTCTTTTCATCTCTTTTCTGGACTCCCACTTTGTGCTTTGGCTTCAGAATCTCCTTCCTGCCTATTAACATTTCTGAGCATTGACACCCTCCATGTCTTTCTTCTTCCTCCTCCCATTCTTTCCTTCACAGAGTGACCTCAATCTTTTGTCGCATTTTTCTCACTTTCTTGGTGTCTATGACTTTCTGTCCCTCCTCTCCCCCTTCTCACCACCCTTATGTCTGCCCATGTGTGTCTTTCTCTGAATTGCCCTCTGTCCAGCCTCCCTCCCCCCCCTCTCATCTTTCCCTCTCTCTCTCATCTTTCCCATCTGAATGTCTAGTACACTTGTGAGTGACGAGGAATAAAAATATCACTATCCCTGCCCTTGGATTCACATTGCACTTAGGGGGGCCAGTTATCTTTACTTTTCCTAACATTACCCCCACCCCTGGCCCTCCAAATACAGAACTCCAGACAGGTCTCTGGGGACACAGGTGCTTCCTAACCACTCTCCCCCCACTACCAGGGTTTCCCCTACAGCCCCTGCTGTGTGGCCAGGCCCCAAGTGTAGGATGGGGCTCCCCGTTCAAGGGCCGGTGGCAGCCAGAGCTGATACAACCCCCTTGGTCTGGAGCCAGGACGCCAGGTAACTCTGGGTGATGGCTCAGGTCCCTGTGAGCTGGGATAGGGCTGGGGAGAAAGGCAGGAATACTTTTGGAAGCCCCTTAAGGCAGTGACATTTGGGAGGAAGGCTGGGGAACAGGAATTGAGTCCTTGAAGGGCTGGGTAGCTGTCTGGGCAGGGGAATGGAGAGACCGTTTCAAGGAGAAACTGGGAGGCAATGTCTTTGTCCTTCCAGTGTCTCTGACTACCTCTCTTTTTCTGTCATTTAGTTGAGGAAGGCAGGAGTGTCTGGAACTATGGCTGGAGCCTCGGTGAAAGTGGCAGTGAGGGTTCGGCCCTTCAATGCCCGTGAGACCAGCCAGGATGCCAAGTGTGTGGTCAGCATGCAGGGCAATACCACCTGTGAGTGTGTCTCAGGGGCCTGGCTGGGCACAAGTGGGGAAGGCCAGTCCTGCTGGGCTGAACCAGGAGGAGGGTTATGCTAGGCAGAGCAGGTGCTAGTTGTAAGGGTGGGGGTAGGGCAGACTGGCCTTTCCATGTTCCTGTCCCTGGGAGGGGGAATGTTGGCCGTCAGCCCTCCATTGCCCAATCCAGGGAGGCAGCTCAGTGGGGGCGGGTCCTAGGAAGCCAAAATTAGCTTTGTGCTGGAGGGGGTGGGGAGTATTAAAAGGGGGAGAGAATGAGCTAGGACAGAGATGGGGAGTCAGATTGCTGGACCCCAGAGGATTGTAAGGGAATGGGCAGAGGTTGGGAATACCTGACCTTGACTTTCCCTCCTTTGCCCTCTCCTTTCCCCTCAGCCATCATCAATCCCAAACAGAACAAGGATGCCCCTAAAAGCTTCACCTTCGACTATTCCTATTGGTCACACACTTCGGTGAGTTTGTTGGGCTGGGAGTAGTAGGCCAGATTATGGCAGACAGAGGATTTAGGTACTGGAGAAGGGGGTATTACTGGGAAATAGAATCTCCAAGAGATTGGTTGAAACTGGATTGCAAAGATGAGAACCCTTGGGTGGGGTACATAGTACATTAGGTTGTGACTGTGATGACCGGGAGGGGAAGGGAAGAGACTCTTGGGATAATTAGGACCAGCAAGGGCTGGATAGGACCCTCAAGATGCTTCAGTTGATAATGAGAGTGGGGGTATGAAACACACAGCTCCTTTGGGCAATCATCGACGATGGAGCAGGACTCTTGGTCTGTAGAAACAAAAGACAAGGTCATCCAGAGCTCTTGGTATTCTTTTCTGCCCCTTGTTCACCTAGGCTGAGGACCCACAGTTTGCATCTCAGCAGCAGGTGTATCGAGACATTGGGGAGGAGATGCTGCTCCATGCCTTTGAAGGTTACAATGTCTGCATCTTTGCCTACGGACAGACAGGAGCTGGGAAGTCCTACACCATGATGGGGCGTCAGGAGCCAGGGCAGCAGGGTATTGTGCCTCAGGTATATGCTGGGGACCTGGTTGAGTAGTCAGGGAAGGACCATCTTCAATTGAGTTGCTCCACAGGGAAGGAAGGTCAGTGCTATAAGGATAATGGGTAGATACTTGGCTGAGGTTTTTAGTTATTAGGGATATGATAGAATGTGAGGATTGGCTGAAACCTGGTGGGCATTCTTGGAGAGGGAGGTGTCATTCCCACCAGAGGCAGTGAAGCTCCATGAAAAAAGTCAAGGCTTTGGTGTCAGAGAACACTAGGTGTAGGCCCTGGTTTTACCATATACTGCTGTTTTTCTTTGTTTTGTAGTTATTGTGAGTGTAATTTCCCTATGGGCCTCTGTACCACAGGTAAGGTGTTAACTGTAGAAAGAGGTAGTTTGGAAAACTGAGTTGTCCATAATTTTCCTTGGCCAAGCAGCATAGTAGCCATCCTGGGGAGCAAAACCTCTGACTTGTGACCTCTCTCTTAGGCTATGGAAAGGGTTCAACCTGGGAAAAGGCCTGGCATGACAGGTGTGCCCTAAAAGGGAGCTTTTCTATGTTTCCCTCCAGCTTTGTGAGGACCTCTTCTCTCGTGTTAATGAGAACCAGAGCGCTCAGCTCTCCTTTTCTGTGGAGGTAAGCTCTGGTTTTATTGGGGCACAGGGAGGGGCCCCTATGTCTCTGGGCAGAAGGTAGAATGATTAAGACTGAAGTCAGGGCTGGGAATGTGGCTTTGTGGTAGAGTGCTTGCCTAGCATGCATGAAGCCCTGGGTTCGATTCCTCAGTATCACATAAATAGAAAAAGCTAGAAGTCGCGCTGTGGCTCAAGTGGTAGAGTGCTAGACTTGAACAAAAAGAGGCTCAGGGATAGTGCCCAGGCCCAGAGTTCAAGCCTCAGGACTGATCAAAAAAAAAAAAAAAAAGACACCAGGCAATCTTGGGAGTCAGTCTAGGATCTAGTTTTGGGCTCTACCTGTGACTATGTATGACTTTGGGCAGTGATTTCAGACTGAAACTCCTGAATGTGTTCATCTGTGGATGCTAATGATTCAGACCCCCCAACCCCTAGGGTTGGTGGGAGGATCAGTGAGCCATCACAGTCAGGGGCTTAGTATCAAGTCTGGTATGCATGCACTGCAGTTAGCCGGGTCCTTGTGGTGGAGTTAGGTGAGGTTTACTGGCAATGCCAACATTGTCTTCCTCACTTTTTATTTGCATCCTTTACTCAGGTGAGCTATATGGAGATCTATTGTGAGCGGGTACGTGACCTCTTGAATCCTAAGAGTCGGGGTTCTCTCCGGGTCCGGGAGCACCCCATCCTGGGCCCCTATGTGCAGGACCTCTCTAAGCTGGCTGTGACCTCCTATGCAGACATTGCTGACCTCATGGACTGTGGAAATAAGGCACGGTAAGACCAGCTGACAGAGTGGAAGAGAAGGGGACAGGACTGGGAAGGTGAGGGGCAGGACCCTGTGACTTCTACTTTCCCCATCAGGACTGTGGCTGCCACCAACATGAATGAAACCAGCAGCCGTTCCCATGCTGTCTTCACCATCGTCTTCACACAGCGCTCTCATGACCAACTCACTGGACTGGACTCAGAGAAGGTGAGGATCTCTAGAAGGAGGACAGTGTTGTGATAGAAGAGGCTTGGGCTGTCCTTCCTCTTCAGCTTGGGTCTTCCATAGCCCTCTCTAACCTCCCCATCATATTAGTGTATTACAACTCCTGCTTGTCCTCACAAGACTTCTCAACAGGGCACCAGTCACCAGTCCCACTTGGGCCCTTGTCCCAGCACACAGTCGACCTATATAAATATTTGTAAATGAATAAATAAGTAACTAGCTCCTTACTGTTATCTACAGACTCTATTTCCTCCTTTTTTTTTTTTTTTTTTTGTGCTGGTCCCGGGCCTTGAACTCAGATCATGAGCATTGTCCCTGAACTTTTTTTCGCTAAGTGCTAGCACTCTACCACTTGAGCCAAAGCTCTACTTCTGGCTTTTTTGGTGTTTAATTGGAGATAAGATTCTCATACCTGCCCGGGCTGACTGAACCATGATCCTTAGATATTAGCCTCCTGAGTATCTAGAACTATAGGCGTGTGCCACCAGCACCTGGCCTTCCTATCAGTTTATTTTATTTTATTTTATTTGTGAACATACTGTACAGAGGGGTTACAATTACATGGGCAGGATAATGCGTACATTTCTTACCAAGCATTGCAGCCTCCTCCTTTGTTTACCCTTCACATCCCTTCCCAGCCTCCCCCCTCCCCCCCTCCTATCAGTTTTATTTGTCCTCTCTTAGGACTTCTCTAGCCCTTGCTAACCACTCAGATTTCTTCTCTGATTTGCCTTCCCATCCCTCCCTCACTCTAGTCACCCACTTCCTCTTTCCTGTGAGCCTAGGTCAGTAAGATCAGTTTGGTGGACCTTGCTGGGAGCGAGCGGGCTGACTCCTCAGGAGCCCGGGGCATGCGTCTGAAGGTGAGGATGCTTTGGAGGGATAGATGTTGGGCAGGTTCAAAGGCTGAGTGGGAAGATCATTGATCATCACCCAGAACTCTTGTGGTAAAGGGAAGGGGAAATAGAGCTGATTGGGAGAAGAAGGTCTCACCCCTACATTCCTCATCCTTTGCCAGGAAGGTGCCAACATTAATAAGTCCCTGACTACTCTAGGGAAGGTGATCTCAGCCCTTGCAGATATGGTAAGCCTTGAGGGTTGGGAAGACAAGGGTTCAAGAGAGCAGGCATAGGCAGTGGCCCATTCTAATTTCCTTTCCTTATCCCCCCAGCAATCAAAGAAGCGCAAGTCGGATTTTATCCCTTACAGGGACTCTGTACTCACCTGGCTGCTCAAGGAGAATTTGGGTGAGCAGTTTTTCTCCCCTCTTTGTTGACTCTGGTGCCCCTGTGATAACACCTGATGTATCCTCTTGCCATCTCTAGAATCCCAAATCTAGTCAGTGTTGTCCCACTGTCTCTCCCCCTAACCTAGGAAATATCCTTTGAAGATTTCCTATGCTGGAATCAAGGCCACACGCTGCCAAGCCAAGGGCCTCACTGACCTGCCTCCCATGACTCTCCCTGACTCCACACCCACTGCTGACTTCAGCCTTCTCCCCTGGGTCTGTGACTGTCCACAGATACCTGATGTACCCCTGACCTCAGTCCTCTCCGCCTAGACTTTATGGTTTGCACCACAACTCTTGGCTTCCTCTACCTCATACTGTGACCCTTCCCTGCTCACTGAGCCTTCCCTCACTTGGCCTCATGACCCAGTGTGACTTATCCTAAGCTCCAGCTCAGCTAATGCTTTTCCATCCTTTCTATTCATAGGTGGGAACTCGCGCACAGCAATGATTGCAGCTCTGAGTCCTGCTGACATCAATTATGAAGAGACGCTCAGCACCCTCAGGTAAGAGATTCATCTCTGGCAGGGGCAGCCCTCAAAAGTGCCAGAAGATTAGAAGCTGGTTACTCAGGACTGTGCCATATGTCTTGGGAATTGGGAAGAAGAGTGGGGATCAGGCAGCCCAGCAAGGGTTCTTGATGCTTGTCTTCTAATCCCCCTGTCCCTCACCTAGGTATGCTGACCGCACTAAGCAAATCCGCTGCAATGCTGTCATCAATGAGGACCCGAATGCTCGGCTGATCCGAGAATTACAGGAGGAGGTGGCCCGGCTGCGGGAGCTGCTGATGGCTCAGGGCCTCTCAGCCTCTGCTCTTGGAGGTAGGGGCCCCAGGGATGGGGGGGCAGTTCAGGGACACTCTATGACCCATTCTGGCCCTCTTTCCTTATCTTTATCTAGTGCTGGGGTCTGGGAGGAAGCAACTACTGGGAGGCTCTTCTTGTGTTCAGTGACATGGACACAGATACAGAGAAGGCATTTGACAGGCTTCAGGAATTAATGACAAGTACAGGAATAAATGGCAAATTCTACATCTATAGTTTTTACATAGTAAATTGTTAAGAGGCTACTGGTATGTCTGCCTTGCAAAAATTCCTGAAAAATATCAGTTTGTTTTTGTTCTTTTGTTTTGTGGTATTGGGGATTGAACTCATGGCCTTGAGCCTGCTAGGTAAGTGCTGTATGCTTGAGCCACACTCAAGTCTGTTTGCTTTTAGGGTGTGTGTGTGTGTGTGTGTGTGTGTGTTGCACATGTGCACCTGAGGCTTAAACTCTTTTAGGGTGTGTATGTGTGTGTATGTTGCACATGTGCACCTGAGGCTTAAACTCAGGGCCCAAGCATTGTTCCTGAGCTTTATTTGCTCAAGGCTAGCACTCTACCACTTGAGCCACAGCTCCACTTCTGGCTGGCTTTGAACTGGGATTCTCAGATTAGCCTTCTGAGTAGCTAGGATTATAGGTGTGAACCCCTGGTGATCGGCTTGCAGTTTGTTTTTAAGATGGGGTCTTGATTCTAAGTTTTTGCTTGGGCTTGATTTGAACTGAGATCTTCCTGTTTCCCCTTTTTATTTAAAGATAGGGTTTTGGCCAGGTGCCGGTGGCTCATACCTGTAATCCTAGCTACTCAGGAGGCTGAGATCTGAGAATTGCAGTTCAAAGCCAGCCCCGGCAAGAAAGTCTGTGAGACTCTTATCTCCAGTTAACCTCTAGAAAACCGGAAGTGGCACTGTGGCTCAAGTGGTAGAGCACTCACCTTGAGCTGAAGGGCTCCGGGACAGGGCTTAAGCCCAGAGATCAAGCTCTGTGGCCTACAAAAACAACAACAAAAAAAGATAGGGTTTTACTATGTGGCCTAGGCTGGCCTCAAACTCAGGATCCTCCTACTTTAGCACTTGAGTGCTAGGATTGCAGGTGTGCACCACCATGCCCAGCAGCACCAGAATTTCAATTGACCATGAATTTAACAGTCAACAATGGAATGGCTTTTAAAATGCAGTAATCAGCACTGATAAAAATAAAATAAAACAGTATCTGTGTGAGATGTTGTTTAACCCAAGTATGAACCCTGTCCACTCTAGTGATCCATTCCACTGAGGGGAATCAGGGTGCTGGGACACCTTGGAGGGAATACTGTTCGTGGGAAGAGGAGGAGGATAAATTAGGTGGGATGTTCATCTTGTAGTGTTTCAGGGGCTGGGCAGAAAAAATGGCACTATATATAGGCTTTCATGCCAGAGGGCAGAGCATGCATGTTGTGCAGCACATTTCAACTCAGCAAAGTGAGGCAATAAGAATGAGAAGAATTGGCTTTCAAGTACAAAGTATGGCCTCCATCCCTGGAATATAAGCAGAGACAGGGTGCCCGTTTGTCAGGGCTGTAGAGGACCCCCTACCATGTGGGAGGTTGCCTTCTGTAACATTCCTGGCCTTCTCTAGTTTGATCAGTTCCATTTTTCCTTAGCCTCCTTCTTTTACCTTTCTCCCTTTCAGGTCTGAAAGTGGAAGAGGGGAGTCCTGGTGGTGTTCTGCCAACCGTTTCCAACCCCCCTACCCCAGCTTTACCGTCATCTCCCCCTGCCCATAATGGGGAGCTAGAGCCCTCATTTTCTCCCAATGCTGAGCCCCAGATTGGGCCTGAGGAGGCCATGGAGAGACTGCAGGTAGGAACCTGGAGCCGGCAAGGGGTAAGGGGCTGGAGACTACTGAGAGTTTACTTTTTCAAAGCCAGGGCTAAAGAGATAGATGGCATCCTAGGAGTATTGCAGCCTCCGTGGTAGATATTGGTCCCAGGTTTTCCTGATCTCCATCTGTCCCTGTGCTTCTAGGAGACAGAGAAGATTATAGCTGAGCTGAATGAGACCTGGGAGGAGAAACTGCGCAAGACGGAAGCCCTAAGAATGGAAAGGTGCGAGGGACCCAGGGATAACCTATTGAGACTTTGCAGGGAAGAACATGAGTAATGAGAAGACTGACATTTGTCTTTTCTTGCTCATAGGGAAGCATTGCTGGCTGAGATGGGGGTAGCCGTCCGGGAGGATGGGGGAACTGTGGGTGTCTTCTCTCCAAAGAAGGTATGTAAACGATTGTGGAAAGAGATCTGGGGAACACTTTGGATACCTAGAGAAGAGGGTTAGAGGTGGCAGGGTGAGAGTTCTGTCCCTAATCTTTTCCTCTTATGTCTCTGATCTGGCCCTTGCTCCTTCTGCGCCCTGTACCATGAACAGGTCCATGTTCTCCACTATCCTTGCTTTCTTGATCAGACAGTGATATAGAGGGTCCAGTGCTTATCAAACGCCTGTAAGGAAGGCCTTTGGAGCTCAGAGGATGATAGACCTCCCTGCTTAGCTCTAAGTCTTTATGTGTATGTGTTCCTGCACAGAATTGGTCAGAATTAATTGATTGGGATTCATGAGAACCTGCTCAATAGTGGTTATCTCAGAGAGAGGAGGGGGAACAGAGAAACTGGAGTTTGGTTGGCATAGGAACTTAGACTGGCATATGTTTTTCTGCCTTTTGGATTTTGTATCCTGTGCATATACTCACTATGCAAAAAATTAGCTCACAAATACATATTTTGAAAGGATAATTTAGAAGACAGGTGGAAAGGGGATGGAGGAGTGAGCATGACTCAGCGATTTTAAGTGTGGAAGGCTGGATTATAGATGGATGCAGGGTGGCCTGGAGACAGTGCATAGCTTCCTGGGAAAGGTAATTTGGGAAGTGGAGCCTGAAAGATGGGGTAATAAGGAGTAGGGACAAACTTCTGAATCCCCAGAGTACATGTTGGGGTGAGTAGGGGACACCGATGTTTGACATGTGCCTGCTAGGTACTAGGTGCTCAGTAAAGCTTTGCTGAGAAGAACAGAAAAGGCAGGAATGGTCAGGCTCAGATGGGGATTGGAATGATATTTAAAGTATCATTAACTAGCTGGCATGTGACAGACAGTGACCAGTCAGAATGGATGCTAGTTGTAGAAAATGAGCATAGCTGCCTGGTGTGATGACACTCCTATAATTCTAGTCCTCAGGAGGCAGAAGCAGGATTGAGAGTTGGAGATCATCCTGGGCTATAGCAAGACATTGTCTCCAACAAGCAAAACTGAGAATGTAATACAGCTCAGTGGAGTACTTGCTTATCAACTATAAGGCCAGGTTCAATCCCCAGTACCACACACAAAATAAAACAAGGCTAGCCCAGCTGATTGGTACATGTCAATGAAGGGCAGAGCAGGAACTTCCAGTCTCACCAGAGAAGCAGCCTTGCCTGTCTGGTATATGATGCAAAGCAGCTAAGATCAGGGCTTAAGCAGACAGACTGCTCTCATACAAGTTAGGTCACTGGGGTCAGCCAAGAAGAGGTAGTAGATTTTCTCACAGAGGCCCTACTTTAATTTGAGAGGTCAGGCCTCACTAATTAAGAAACTGAAAACACTTCTTAAAAAAGGAAAGGGCTTTGCTTTGTCTGGCCCGCACCATAAAGCAAGGGAGAGAAGTGTGAGTAGATAATTTGGGTGGCAGGCCAGGCTGAGTGCTCTTGTCCAGGACCAGGGTAATCAGGGCTTTGAAGTCCTGAGAAAGCTATAGACCCTTCTAGACGACAGGTACATCTTAGGAATCAGGGATGTAGATGGCTTCCAATTACCTTTGGGTGCCTGTAACTAGGACCCTTCTACTCAATGGCAGGGTAGAAAAAAGCAAACAGAAAGGGGTGGGATGATTAGTGGAGTGTGTATTTCTTTCCTGAAGGACTTACTACTGTACAGGGATGCTACTTACTAAAGCCCAGGGACCAAAAAGAGGATTTTTATTTTTTTTAAATTAGTCATGGGGCTTGAACTAGGCCTAGGCGCTGTCCTTGAGCTCTTTTGCTCAAGACTGGTGCTCTGCCACATTGAGCTACCAGTGCCACTGCTGGTTTCATGAAGTTAATTGAAGATAAGAGTTTCATGGGGGCTTTCCTGTCTGGGCTGGCTTTGAACCTCAATCCTCAGATCTCAGCCTCCTGAGTAGCTAGGATTACAGGTGTAAGCTACTGGCACCTGGCTTAATTTTTTTTTGGTTTTGTTTTAGCTGGTCCTGGGGCTTGAACTCTCCCTGGGCACTGTCCCTGAGCTTTTTTTTTTTTTTTTGCCAGTCCTGGGCTTGAACTGTGGCCTGGGCACTGTCCCTCAGCTCTTCAGCTCAAGGCAAGCACTCTACCACTTGAGCCACAGCGCCACTTCCAGCTTTTTCTGCTTACGTGGTGCTGAGGAATCGAACCCAGGGCCTCACGCATATAAGGCAAGCACTCTACCACTGAACCACCTTCCCAGCCCTCCCTGAGCTTTTATGTGCAAGGCTTGCACTCTACCACTTGAACCACAGCTCTACTTCTGACTTTTTTGGTAGTTTATTTAAGATACGAGTCTCATGGACTTTCCTGCCCAGGCTGGCTTTAAACTAAGATCCTCAGATTTCAACCTCCTGAGTAAGCTAGGTTAAAGGTGTGAGCCACCGGGTGCCTGGAATAGGGAGGGTTCTTGTATTTATTGTACAGATAATAACATAACAGGGAAAACTTTCCAATAGTACTAAAAAGTGAGTACATTTTAGAAAGTCTCCTTTTCATTCTCAATTTTTCCTTCTCTTAGAGAAACTACTTTATCATTTCCTAATGTGTTCTCCTAGAGGCAGCCTGCATGTCCAGGCATGTATTACATACCTAATTATCCATGTGCGCACACACGTGGCCTCCCTTTTTAATAATAGTGGTTGCATACCTTGTTATCTCAAAGGTTACTTCACTTTTGACATTGTGTCAGAATATTCTGTCATGTAGATGTAGGATATCTTACTAGTTTCCTATTAGTGGGCATTTAAGTGTTTTTGATACTACAAACACTGCTACAGTGGTTAGACTTGAAAATTGGTGCTGTCTGTAGAAACAAATTCTAGAAGTAGACATTTGGGGTCAGATGGTGGCCGTTGAACCTTTTTTTTGTGGTGGGGGGGTAAGAGGGGAATTGAGATAGAACCAGAGTCTCATGCATGCTAGGCAAGTACTCTACCACTGAGTTACACTACTACCTCTACTTTTTTTTTTTTTTGGTGCTGCTACTGGGGTTTGAAGTCACAGTCAGAGGTGCTATTCCTTAGTTTTTTTTTGCTTCAGGCTAGCACTCTACCACTTGAGCCACAGCTCCACTTCTGGCTTTTTGGTGGTTAATTAAAGATAAAAGTCCCAGATTGGCTTTGAATTGCAGTTCTTAGATTTCAGCCTTCTGAATATCTGGGATTGTAAGTGTGTACCACCATGCCTGATTACTAAAGTGTCCCGTGAAGATTATAACCACCTGAATATATCTTCCAAGAGCAACATATAGGTACCTGTTTTTTTTTTTTTCTTT